ATAATTTATGGATTGAGTAAGTTCACTATTCCTAATTTGTAGATGTTTTTGGCCCATGTCTCTTAACCTTACATATTTATATGTTCGAAATCAAACTTATCTTATATACAATTGTGTCATATCTTCTAAGTTGTATTAGATATTGATTTAAAATCTTATTTGACACTCACGTTAACCCAATTGCACTAAACTGCTAGTGATACTAAAATCACAAACACAATCGACTATGTCAATAATATGTGGCGTACTTTTGAATATCAAATGAACTTCAAGTATGTAATCATTCATGAATTGAGAGGCTTAGAATATATCATATATTCCTTGTATTTTATTCCCCTTATATGATGTGTAATTTATGGTACAATTTCCTTTTACATTATAGGTTTCTACATTCTTTTGACTATGAAATTATAAATTAACTGAAATTGTTGAAATACAGGAGGCTGTGGTAATTCCACCATATGTGGTATTGGCGATAAGAGGGAGTCCAGGACGTTGGGATTACTTGAAAGTCAATGCAGATGACGTCACAGTTCATGCCATTACGCCTACACAATATTTGTCTCTTAAAGAGTCCATATACGATAAGGATCGGTATATTTACCATTAAATTCGTCGTTTTGTTTCAAAATACGTATAAATTTTTATCAAAGAATTTACTAGTATATATATACATTGTTTTTTATTCACTACAAATTGCATTTTTGCTGAATCATGAGACGAGATTTAACAAATATTTAAGAGCTATTTATGATGATAATCCCACTCACTCCTATCGTCTTCTATCTTACAAAACAAAGTATTGGATGAGCAGGGTGAAGAGTGAAGACACAGTGGAGGTGGATTTCGGAGCGTTCGACTTTTGCATGCCTCGCCTAACGCTCCCTTCTTCTATCGGAAATGGATTCAACTACATTTCAAAGTTTACAACTTCAAAGCTTAGTGGGGATTTAGAGAATGCGAAGCCATTGCTTGACTACTTGCTAGCTCTAAATCATCGTGGAGAGGTAGGTAGCCATGACAGATAATCAAGGACTACACATATCTATAACTGCTCAGATCGACTCATGGATTCGATTCTTTTGGGTTTCTTTTGCAGAAGCTTATGATCAATGAGACATTAGATACAGTTTCGAAGCTCCAAAAGGCATTGATTGTTGCGGATGTCTACTTATCTGCACACCCGAAAGACGAGCCATGTCGTACCTTTGAGCACAAGTAATTGATAACCCAAGTTTTGTTTATGTACGAATTTAAGGAATGATAACGGATTTTATCGTGAATTGTAGGCTTAAAGAGTGGGGATTTGAGAAAGGATGGGGAGATAGTGCAGAAAGAGTTAAGGAGACAATGAAGATGCTTTCAGAGATTCTTCAAGCTCCAGATCCATGTAACATGGAATCATTCTTTAGCAGGCTTCCGGTTATATTCAATATCGTTATATTCTCCATTCATGGTTACTTTGGACAATCAGATGTTCTTGGATTGCCTGATACAGGAGGCCAGGTGCTTGACTAATTCCCAAAGTCAAATTTACGATTCACAATTCACAAAATTAACTTGAATTTTATCTTCTTTTGTGAAATTTTTGATAAACCCATATGGATTAACAAATTTTACGTGCGGGAAAAGAATTTGGTGTATAGAAACTTGATAGATTTCGTTTCTTGAAGAGCTCAGTTTGACCTAAAAAAGTCAACATAATTTCCATGCAGGTTGTTTACATTCTTGATCAAGTGAAAGCACTAGAGGAAGAGATCTTACTACGAATAAAGCAGCAAGGGTTGAACGCAAAGCCTCGGATTCTTGTGGTACATAAAGTTGGAGTTATTAAACAATCGAACCTTTATTGGAATGAAATTCAAAAGCTCCACATATCTAATAGAGATAATTCGATGCTTCAAATGTTCACCATATTTGTGTATAATTATAATCAAATGTAAATATAAATCTACAGGTGAGTCGACTCATTCCCGAGGCACAAGGAACAAAGTGTAACGAGGAGATGGAGCCAATCTTGAATACTATGTATTCCCACATCCTTCGGGTTCCTTTCCACACTTCAAAAGGCATTCTCCCTCAATGGGTTTCACGCTTTGATATCTACCCCTACCTTGAAAATTTTTCACAGGCAAGTTTTTTATATACTACATTGAACTGAAACTGAGACTCTGATGTTAATGAGACAAAATAAAATGCAATTTTAGGATGCTGCCTCTAAGGTGCTAGAAGTGATGGAATGTAAACCGGATCTTATATTAGGAAACTACACAGATGGTAACATTGTGGCATCTCTAATGGCTAAAAAATTTGGAGTGACACAGGTTTTTTAACTTATTAAAACTCGTCTTTTCGTTCTTTTAAATTATTTAGTTCCTCAAATCATTGTTTTTTGGTCGAATTTCAACTCCAGGGGACGATTGCACATGCATTGGAGAAGACAAAGTATGAAGACTCGGATATTAACTGGAAAAAATTTGAAAACAAGTACCACTTTTCATGTCAATTCACTGCAGATTTGATCTCAATGAACGCTGCTGATTTCATTATCACAAGCACTTACCAAGAAATTGCAGGAAGGTTAGATGTTTGATTCCTAAACTTAGATTGTAATGAAATTAGCAAAACACATAGTAAAAAAAAGTATTTTCAATTATTTAAGAGTTGTTTCTTTTTTACATAACGGGCTTAATGGGTTAAGCACTTAATCTAGACAACTATACATGGTTGTTTCAATTGTACTTAATCCAGACACAATCACTTAATGTATTATGCCAAAAAAACTTGGCTAATGGCTTAATGCATGTATTAAGCATTAACCTTTTATCTATTTGCCTTTCTTTTTTTCCTCGATTCCTCTCTAGTTAAAACCGATGAATATTGCTAAAACCAATGGATGTTACGAAATTAATTTATTTTTGGAATGTAAAGGCGAAATGCTCATTTAATCTCATTCAGTCGGTTGTGTAAGACGAAGTTATGTTTAAAGCATTTTATCCGCACAATCATCATTATCATTCAACTACTTTATCAATACACCTAACTTTAAAATCTTTGAAGTTAAGTTGTTAATATAAATTTAATCTAAGTGCTTCTTTTGTTACTTTTTTGTGTAGTAATAAAAGGCCTGGACAATATGAGACACATGCAGCTTTTACGATGCCAGGGCTTTGTAGAGTTGTATCGGGAATCAATGTGTTTGATCCAAAGTTCAACATAGCCTCACCCGGTGCAGAACAATCGGTTTATTTCCCAATCACAGAAAAAGAAAAACGATTAACTTCCTTTCATCCCGCAATTGAAGAACTACTTTTCAACAAAGAAGACAACAATGAGCATATGTAAGTTGTTCCGAATTGGACCCGACCCAGCCCAAAAAAGCCCAAGTTAACTTGTGCACCTCATAACATACTTTTGTGTTTCAAATAGGGGATATTTGGTGGACCGAACAAAACCGATAATATTTTCAATGGCGAGGCTCGATACAGTGAAGAATATAACTGGATTAACCGAGTGGTTCGGGAAGAATAAACGACTCAGAAGTCTTGTAAATTTGGTTGTTGTTGCGGGTTTTTTTGATCCATCAAAATCGAAAGATAGAGAAGAAATGGCGGAAATCAAGAAAATGCATGAATTGATTGAAAAATATAAACTTAAGGGCCAAATGAGATGGATAGCGGCTCAAAATGATAGGACCCGTAATGGGGAACTGTATCGGTGTATTGCTGATACTAAAGGGGCTTTTGTGCAGCCCGCGTTGTATGAAGCTTTTGGGCTGACGGTTATTGAAGCAATGAATTGTGGGCTCCCGACTTTTGTGACAAACCAAGGTGGGCCCGCGGAAATTGTGGTTGATGGTGTTTCAGGGTTTCATATTGACCCGAATAACGGAGATGAATCGAGTGAAAAGATTGCTGATTTTTTTACCAAGTGTAAAGTGGATGTTGAGTATTGGGATCGGTTGTCTCAAGCTGGACTTCAACGAATTTACGAGTGGTAAGTTGAATCACACCCAAAAATGAGGTCCAATCAAATGTGGTCATAGCATTGGTCCGACCAAGTGTCATCTGGTCCGGACTAGGTTTCATCTGGTCTGGACCACAAACCACACTTTATCTGGTTCGGTCCGGACCAAACTTTTGTGGACCGTGATAAAGTCTTTACTGGTCCGGACCGAACCAGGATAAGATGAGTCCATGTGTGCAACTCAAAGAATTGAATCATGTTTAATTGTTTGGTTCTTTCAGCTACACATGGAAGATCTATGCTAACAAGGTGTTGAACATGGGGTCGATGTATGGCTTTTGGAAGCAACTAAACAAAGAGAATAAGCAAGCGAAGCAGCGATACATTGACATCTTGTACGATTTACAGTTCAAGAAGTTGGTAAGTCATTTCCTTTTCCTTTTCATTATAGTTTGTGTCAAAAAAATCGATAAAAACTACATCATTCTTTAAACAACTATTTATCGTTTTTTATAGGCAAAAAACATTGAGATCCCAAACATCACAACACCGGTCAAAACCGAACCAACAAAACAAAGACCACAACCCAAAACTGGTGCACCCAATGAACCACCAACCGTGGTGGCTCAAGAACCGGTGCACCCACCACAGACCATGTCAAGTTCAAGGTCAATGCGATTGAGTTCAATGACCAATGCAGGAAAACCATTGCTTGTTTTTGTATCTGTGTTGATTGTTGTGTATGCATCAAAAAATCTGTATAGGTATTTTAAATAGGTGGAAATGTAATTATGATAATAAGGTGATGTAGATCCGATCATGGTAAGTAACCATAAGTGTTTATAAATAAAGGTTTTTATTACAACATTTTACTTTCATTTCTTCCTATTAAATAAAATGATGTAATTAAAGTTCACAAAGCTAAGAAACCTAAGTTTATTACTGTATTACCCTTTTGAATCCAAATATGTATGTACAAAAGACATGAAAAGACGATTTTGTACAAAGAAATTTTACATATTTACCAAAGAGTCTCATGGTTTAGCAGAGGCCTTGCAAACAGGGCACCAGTTCTTTAACTGCAGCCACTGGTTTACACACACAGCATGGTAACCATGGTTACATCCCATTCTTCCTATTTCATCTCCTGCTATGAACTCCTCCTGAAAGAAAGAGCAACATATTTTCATTCATCTGTTTATTACAACATTTTAATTTCATTTTTTTCCTATTACATCATTATAACAGCTAAATGATATAAATAAAAGAAAAGATTTTTAAGAAGCATCACCTGACAGATGCTGCATTTTGATTCATCCAAACACCAACTGGTTATTGTTCTTGAATCCTTAATTTGCAATGGTTCATATATGCTAATTTTAAGGCATTTTGATAATTCCTCTTCAGATAATGCTGTGCTCACTATACCCATTTCATCCTCTAATGCTAATAGTTCCTGTTAGAAAAATCATGCAAGATTCATGTTTTCCATAGATTTTTGGGCTTAAATGGAAGAAATAGAAAAAGCAGAAAACCTCATAGGACATGTTATCAATGTCTAGTCTCATGTCCCTGTGTTGATCATACAAATTGAAGCCACCAAGGAATGAATTTCCATCAAAAGATAGAATTTGCTGCAAATATGAAAAAAAAATTATATGGTTAATAACTACAGGTATTTTGGATTTGTTTTTCTTTAAAAAAACAAATGGAATCACTACCTCGTATGTTAACCCCTCATCTTGATCGATTCTCTCAAGTGCCAGTAATACCTGAAAACCACAAATCAATTCTTTCTAACATTTCTCATTAAGAAATTGTAACTTGATATAACCTAAGGAACTTACATTTGCAATGGCATCAACATTGTATCCAGCAGTCATCATGCTAGATAAGCCATGATCTGATGAAGTTTCACCATTAGACTGAACCACAGACTGATTGTTTCCATTTAGGTTTACAGATCTCCGAGTTCTTACAGATAATGGTTCACTTGTCTTCTTGCCTCTAGATGAACTTGTTTCTCCTTCAGTGGATCTTTTCTTTACTGTATTTCTCCTAGCTAAACCAATTTGAGCATCATAGTTTGCAAGACCAGGTTTTTGACCATTTGTTCTACCATTCGACTCAGTGCTTTTGGATTTTGACTTATGATTAGTTGTTGAAGTTTTAAGTTGTTCAATTTCAGGCTTAGAAGATAGCTTCTTCTTGGATTCGTGGAGAGGTTTCTTCACGTTTGTCACTACTTCCTTGATGTTTGAAGATCGAGAGGAAGGCCTTTTAGGGATACTTACGATTTGATTTGGCGTATGTTTTGTGTGGTTTAATCTGCCACTGCATCCAATTCGATTGCAGAATTGAATAGGTTCAGGTTCATCTCTAGTGCCATTAGTATCGCGTGTAGAAGGACCTGATCCCTTTCTAAGGGCACTAACCCAGTTCACAGCTCGTTTAGCAGAGTATGAATCCATGGAGATGTTACGTAAAGTCCCTTATCAATTATTTCAGAAACGATGTTAGTCCTTTCTTCATGTATAAGCATAATTATGAATAGAAGTGTAAAGGCGGCATAAATCGCATCGTGTTCCATTTGTTCAGTGATTCAGAGGAAAACGATAAATCGCACAAAGAATCGGTTTAAATAATCCCCTCTTCATTATACTTAGCAACGATCAATACCCAAGTAACAATCAACAAATATGATAATCGAATTCAAAAGAAGTAAGTAACAATAGTCAAAATTCAAAAGAACAATCAGCGTATCCATAAACGAATATGCAAACATGAACAGCAGCTAGTTTAATCAAAACAAAGATAAACCCTAATCAATCAAAACCATGGAAGAGAAATAGCAACTGGCTTACCAAAATTGATGTTGCAGAAGCAGAAAAGAAAGTGGAGGGAGGATACGTGTAGGAGATAGAATGGAAGTCTAATATTTATCTATAAAATTATGGTGGAATGAAGACGCAAAGCAAACAAAGAAAGGAATGGTTAGCTGAAATACCGGCCGGTCATGCTGAAGTGGAGGAGGTGGTCAAAAGTCAACGGCCATCGATGGTGGGGGCCGTTTTAACTTCCATATCCACAAGTACAAGGTCTTAAACCAAATGTCACTATTTTCATGCACTTCAATTCGTCTCATTATAAATTTATAACAAGGTAACTTTTTATAGTTTAAATTTTTAATCTTTAGTCTTCACTTGAACTCCATCGATTATCCATTGCTGTAATTTAACAAAAATAAAAAAATAAAAAAAATAAAAAAAAAATAATAATAATAATAATAATAATAATAATAATAATATGTAAAATAAAATGAAGTACTATGTTATAAATTATAAATGAAAAAATGTATTGTTTGTATGTTTTCAAATGCCTCATAAATAAGTTTGGATTTGTTCTGAATTGATCATCATTTTTTTTTATTATTATTTTTTCAAAATAGGTTTCTAAAGTATCGATTTATCTATTAAATAGGAAACCATTAAATTTAATTTTGGTTTCACCGGTAACATTTAGTACACATTGTGTTTCTATTTTTTTAAAAATTTAAAATATTTTTTTTATCTAATTAGCTTTTCTTTTATTTCTTGTTATAAAATTGATCCTACAACTGAAACACTTCTTTTTCATTAGTAACACTCAGTTCAACACCACCATACACCTCTGACTCTCAATTCATCGCTTCATTCATCATTGTAGAGAATCAATATGTGAAAACCGACGTGCATGTCTCACCATTCTCTTTGTTTCCTCCCCTTATTATCATCTTCCGACTGACATGTCCTCCTCCGACCTCCAGCTGACTTCTGCACTCCCCTTATTTCACGTTGTTTATAGATGCAGTCTTGCCCTTTTTTCCCTTCCTTGCAACTGAACACAATGCATCCAATGATTTCATCGTGGTTGGGCCTGTCTAGAACCTCATGGACCATTTGGTTGATCTTGTCAACAGCAATGTCTTAACTAGAACATGCCCTAAGAGCAACGACTGCCTACGGTGGTTACTTTCTTTTGTCTTTGTAGACGGTGGTGAATAGTAGGCGTTTATCACATCGTTTGAAGCAATATGTGTGTTGATGTTCCTAATTTACTAGATCCTGTAACAGAAGAAAACGCAGGTTCGAGTTCATCCCGTTCTTTTGCGAAATCTATAGAAGGTTTGTCACATCGATTTTGGGGTTTTTTTAACAGTGATTATGAGAATGTGGTTTTGCTTGGGGATGTAAATCAGTTTGGAACCGGACCGAACTGGAACTAGAACCAAAAACCGATTAAGATGACACTGGGTCAAAACCGAAAACCGAATACGGTTCATTAGACCACCACCTTAACCACCTGAAGTTTATATATGAGACACTTGGTCAAATGGTTCAACCATGGTCTTTGTCATTTGGGCTTCAATTGAAATGGATAATATGACATCCCAATTTTCACGGTCAGAAAAGACCGATTTTTTTAAGCTTTATAGAATCAGAGTACCTCTTTTAATAAAAATGTTGCGGGATTTGTTCCCAGTAAAACATGATAAATACGTTATTAAATCATTTCCGAAGAAAACTATTTTTATTCATTTTAAAACATTTGAGATGTGATCGTCAATACAGAAACATAAGCATAAACAGAACTTACATTCATTATCACTAGTGATTTATATTTCCTTAATCTCTCAGTGTAATGTGACTTCATATCAACACATGTGATATAAATAAACTGAGCGGGTCAGGTTGGGAAACCTAGTGAGTACATAGGGTTTTCAACCCACAATAAATAAGTTTATTAACTTTATCAAACCAAACAAACCCGATTACCCGTTTCCGTTATCATCACTTTCCGTCCCTAAAACATCTAACCCAAGGGACCTAGTCTAAGGACTTCCATCAGGGTGACAGCACATGCTTTGGGGGTTTCTCAACAATTCATGTCAAATAAGGAAACCATGTGGGGGATGGAGTACTGCTGGTGAGCACACAATTCAAATAAACACATACAGGTTGCGAGTTTGCTATCGTTCCACTCGACTGCCTAAAATAGTCTGTGGTCGTCATCTATACTCTGCTAGATGACTGGATCATCAGTAACATCTATATCGAGGTCTCTCATTATTTTATTTGGTCACACAACAACTATTACATATACCCATGTTTTACCCAACACATTTTATAGATATAAAATACATATACAATTTAAATCATTTAAACGTATATAAAAATATTTCACCCAGCATAGACAGTAAGCATTCAGACAATATGCACACATAACACGTAATTTATATTAAATACTTCATATCTATGTGTAAGATGAAAGGGGTCATCCACTCACTTGAAAAGGTGGTGATTCCGAACTCAGACAACACTTCGCTTTTTAAAAATAATTTCCTTCGACGAAACCTACTGTTATTACCACTAGAGTTTAGTCTGTAACGACCAAAATTTCAACAAAATTTAAACTTTTCAAAAACATCCCAATTCATTAAGTTATTACAAAAAGGTTTTCAATACATTTATTATCAGAGTATTCCCAAGTCCATATCATAAAACATAAACACGAGGAGCGGTACGATCACGCCTTTGCCTTGCCACGGTCTCCTGAAGAACCTGAAAAACATTAAACCACAACTGTAAGCCCGAAAGCTTAGTGAGATACCCCCAAAATACCAACCACATATACCATACACATATCATAACAAATCACAGAACAGCCATGCATATCGGGTCTACTGTGAGACTGGTCCGCCGTGTCGGGCCTTCAGTCCACCTGGTCCACCCTCTGAGTCTAGTCATGTCCCTCGAGTCTGCAGTGTGGTTGGTCCGCCCGCACCGGGCCTTCAACCCACCTGGTACACTCTTTGAGTCTACAGTATGACTGGTCCGCCCGCATCGGGCCTTCAGTCGGCCTGGTCCACTCTCCGAGCCTCGGCAAGTCTGGTCCACCCTCGTGGGGCCTACAGCCTATCCGGACCACTCGCTGGGCCTTCGGTACAACCGGTCCGCCCTGGGTATCGTGGCCTACAACACGAAGCAGGACCCGCCTCAACCCAACTCCAGTCTAAACAACCACGTGCACTTAAACATACAATCGCATAACAATTCATATTTAATCAAACCGATCTAGCAGATCACGTAACACAACATACTTTAAGCAGGATACCGACCTAACCGGTCACTAGCATAGCATCATCCTATATACCAGGATACTGATCTTAACCAGGTCTCTAACGAATACCATCCTAACTACCAGGATGCAAACATATCAAAGCAATAACATAACAACAGATACCCAGATCTCAATCCGATAAAGGGCCGACCTTGGTGCCTTAGACCATGTTGATATAGTGAGGATAACTCACCTCAAAACTGTCGGCTGAACGGATAACTCAAGCTGCTCCAACTACTGGTACGATCTCCACCACTCGCCAACCACCAATACACTAAACTTACAACAATATTCAACAATTACCAAAATGCCCCTGGAAATCAACAGGTCAACCCTTGGTCAAAGTCAAAGTCTACACCTGACTGACATTACTCACCGAGTCACCCCGAGACTCGCTGAGTCCAACAACTCTGAGTCCACACGCACACATCTCACCGAGTCATCCCTTGACTCACCGAGTCACAGCCTATCCAAAAGAAACTTGGACCCTACGACCAGACTCGTCGAGTCCAAGAACAGACTCGCCGAGTCTACGACTATCTTCAACCTACTTGCCGAGTTGTTCTTACAACTCGCCGAGTTCCAGGCCATCTTCATCCAACTCGCCGAGTTGCTCTTCCAACTCGCGGAGTCCACCCATGTGACTCGCTGAGTACCACCGGGTCTGAATCCATACAGAGGCTTTCCAAGCCATGCAGATGATCCAAACCATAGATCTACCCCTCCTAAGAAGATCTAGGCGTTTTCACTCTAGGGTTTGGGTTTTGGGACAAGATAGCTCCATCAATCACTCAAAAACAGGGACCTTTATGCATTCTAACCCTCCTCCATTCCAGATCTGAGGTAGCAACCTCAGATCTAACCTCTAAAATCCAATACAACAAAAGATATGATCTCTAACACCTCCAAAAATGATGAATCTAGATAATAGCAGCTCAAACAATGAAGTAATACCTCAAAAGGATGCTCCAAGAGAAGGTTAATCTGAATCCTTGCAAAGCCCTTTGATCCAAGTCTCTTCTCCTTCAAGATTTCTTCAACAACCACTTCCCCAAGCTCCAAATGCACTCAAATCCTCCACAATCACATATCTAGGGTTTTTGTACTTCAAGGGAGATCAAAGAGGCTGGGGAGAGGGTATAATGTCCTTTAAATAGGGTTCATCCTCCGGATTTAGGGTTTTCTCCACTCAGTGCCTACTCGCCGAGTCCATCTTTGGACTCGCCGAGTAGACCACTTAACACGCGACCAAAGTCGCGACCCTACTCGCTGAGTCCACCCATGGACTCGCCGAGATGCCCTTATATATTTTCACTTTTAGCTCTTCAACTCTACTCTTGATATTCCGGGATGTTACATAGTCTATTATTTGTCGAGACAAATTAATAGTCTAGTTATTATTACCATTATATAAGCGTTAAACAATAATTATATAACTCATAATGATAGCCCAAGTACTTATTATAAGTTCCTAACCACGTTACTATAATTAAATAAAAGCTATATTAAAAATAGCGTAGGGGTAGCTCACTTACAGCGGGTTTTATAGAAAACTGGGTTTTGCTTGGAGCAGCGTTCCCGAGCCGAAAAGCTCTTCTTCTCAGAGCTGTCGAGCACTCCGGGGCTTCCACCTCATGTTAGGGAGGTTCCCTAGGCTTTCGCGCGCGCGCGCGGGGTGGGGGGGGGGGGGGGTGTTCGGGCTAAAGAGAGGTTCTAGAGAGAGTAAAGAGAAAAAAAATGAAAAATATGTGAAGAAAATGAGGGTTGGATAGGTTCTATTTATAGGGTGAAATATGACTGAACTTGGTGCCACATGTCACCAATCTGGTGGCAAGACTTGGGGAAAAAGCAACGACCAAGATTGTGTCACGTCACCTATTTTCGCACAATACACTTTCGAATTCTAAAATCTGTAACTTTCACATACGAGCTCCGTTTTTGATGTTATTTATATCCACGCGTAGGCAAAAATAAGATCTACAACTTTCATTTTGAATCCATCAGCTAATTCTCGACCGATATTAAATTTAGCAGTAAAAGAAGATTATACTGTTAAATGTTCGCGTAAAATTCATAACTTCTACATACGTACTCTGTTTTCGTCTGTCTTTTTACCGTTGAGTTCTTATTAATCAGATATTTAATTCTCATTTAGTTCACGTAGGCTAAAAACCGCTCGTTCTAAAATTCGAGTTTCGGGTTGTGTACAGCTAATCCAAATCTTAGAAAATTCATAACGTCCTCATACGAAGTTAAATTTGGGCGTTCTTTTTTTGTATGTTCTCGGTTTAACGTATACTATAACTTTTGTTTAGATTTCTAAGGCTAAAAAGTTCTCCATCGTAAATTCACTATTTACGTCTCCCTGTGTCGTGTCGGTTTTGCCGTAAAACTTCAACGGACCATAATTTGTTCGTTATAACTCGGATTTCGACGTTCTTTATATGTACGGAACCCTTGAGATGTATTGTAAAACTTGGTTAATATTATTTATTCTAAATAATATTTTGTCAAAAATTCGTTTTCGACCTCTATTATCTCTAACTTGACTAGCCCGGATCTACTGGCGTTACAGGTAAGATGACATCTCAAGAGATCATGGATACTAAAGCTTTAGCAGCTTTAGAGAGCCACAGTGAAGCTGAAAGACGACGTCAAGATCGCATCAATAATCATCTTGCCAAACTTTGAAGCTTACTTCCGAGTACCACCCTAAACAAGCTATTGAAGAATTTGAACCCTAAAACTAAAATCTTGAACCCAAAGACCTAGGCAGAGG